TTGTCCGTTTTTTCTTAACAGTATTTAAATAATTTTTTCTTAACCTAAAAGTATGCACCAAAAAATATATAATTTTTTTGAGGAAAATAGGCAGCACCTGAAACTATTTTTTTACTCAGATATAATATTCGTTTTTGTCCCATTTCTATAAAGTATGCTTCCTAAAAGTATGCTCTAAAAATATCTTTGAAATATGTTAATCCTAAAAGTATGTCTCTTGGTGATTGATGAAATTTTAAAAACAAATTAACGAAAAAGTCCGCCCTAGAAGCCTTTCACCATTAACACTAGCACAAAAACATCTATTATTTGGAAAGTGGTGCCTACTTCAAGGCAATTTGTTTTGCCAAAATAAATTTCAAGTTAAGTTAAGTTATACTTTATTGAGTCTTTAAATAAATTTCAAATAAAGTTTATTTCTACACCATATTTCCTTAATAAAATATTGCCTACTTTAAGGCTCTTTTGCGAAAATGGGGAACAAATTAATAGTACTTTCAACTCCTACTCCCTTCGAAACAAAATATTGCCTACTTTAAGGCTATTTTTTTCTTTGCCGAAATAAAATCCCTCAAAATAGTTGTCTCAACTCCCCCTCCTCTCCCCCCAGTATTTTCCCATGCCTTTATTGATTCCCTAAAAAAATTCGATCATAAAACTGCTATCAAATAACGATTGACTTGATTTCTGTCAGGAGCAGCGGAGAAAAGATAGAAAAAAAAAACACATTTTACCTTTATGCCTTTTATCATCATGCAGCAGCATGCCCAGCATGCTTGGTAAATCGCATAGTTTTAGATATGATTTTATAGGAAAAAATCAACAACATCGGCAGCATGATCTAAAAAATTCTGCATACGATAATAAAGGCGGGAAAGCAACTTACAAATGATCATTTTGGGAGGAGGAGGAGGAGAAGGGCGTACGAAAAAGTCTTTTGCGAAACATACGCTTTGGCCATATAACACACATTATATGACGATCATTTCGACTAGCTGGCTAGCTGGCCAGTCATCATCATCCTCAGAAGAAGACGAAGGAATACCACGTTATACTACATAGTCACGATTTCTGGTTTACAATGATTTTGGATGTCTGTCATTTTCTTGTTGTTGTTTGTTCTGCTATTTTATTTTGGTTCTAGTCTTCCTAAGATTGAGAAGAAGAACCTCAGAAAATTTCTTCCTAGTTGTAGTTTTATAGCTGTTTTGTAAACAGTATGCCAAGCATGAATAAAAACTACAACAAACACATGTTAAAAATTGGCCAAAAACGACGAAAATACCATGGCATACCAGCACACCATATGCTGCCATCATGCTGCAATGCTGATAGATAATCTCCGAAGAGGTTCTTAACATTTAAGCTTAAAGTTTTTTTGTTTTTTTTTTTTGGGTTATGGCTAGGTAAGCTTAGTTCAGGAAGATTGTGGTGGACAATGAATGCCGGGCTAGTAGTGGATAAGAAAAGGGTAGAAATCCAGCCAGCAATCAGCATCTGTTAATCTTAGAAGAAATTTTGAGATTTTTTTGCTTTTTTTTGTTTTTGATTTCCAATTTTATTTAATGATCATTAAGTGGATTATTGTTTTTGTTGTTGTGTTATTGTATCTCAAAGATATCGTGTTATATCAATAACTGAAAAAGGGTGGATCTCAACAAATAAAAATGTTTTATATACTCCCTTTTTATATCAACAACGCAAAAAAAAGAAAACCCACAACCATCTTCATGCTTAAGACGAAAAGGAAAATCCTCATATTCCGAAGCCATGATTGTGGCACGTTTATTTTTCGAAATCCAGTTTCTTGGCTGATATATTTTTTTTCTCCTCTTGCTGCCAATAATTTACAACTATGTATGCCATCTCAATACTGTTTTGGGCCATAACACCCGCACTCAGAGCAAAATGCCATAGCCAGGCACAAAATCTCTCCATGTTGGCATGCCAGACGTGTGTATTTTTTTTCTTTTGTGGTACGGTAAGGATGCTTGCAGGGGACAGACAGACAGACGGAAAAAAAGCACAACCATTGTCTTGTATTACACATTGGCCATCACCATGCCAACCAATACCTTAGACAGGCCGGCAAAAAACCAAAAAATTTAGTTTAACGTTATTGTTTAACAATTGTTGTTTTATATATTTTTATATGAATTTCATTGTTGAAACTTTTAAAGCCTTTTCGATTTTTTTTTGTGTGTGCGGAAAATCATTTGCAATAATACAAGACAATGAGATTGGAATATGCCAGCGAAAAGCAAAGAAATAAAAAATCGATACATTTGGTCAAACTGAAAACTGGTTACAATGCGGATCGTATTGCTGAGTCATTGGCTGTTGTCTAAGCAAAACATTTTTAACTCCAAACCTAAGGCAAAATTTGGTGGGAAAATTTAGTACAAAAAAAGTAAATTTTATTGAAAAAATTGAGATTTTGAAAATTATAAAAAATCAGAACGGTTTTATAGTAATATATTAGAATTTCAAGTATTTTCTTGATTTTCAGCCTAAAAGTAGGCATCATATTTTGCATATATCTTGATTTTATGCAGGCAATTTGTCTATATACGTTTAAGAGCAATTATTATCCACTTTGTCTCTTTATTTATGAAAATTTGGGTCATTTTCGAAATCTTGAGCCCGAAAGTATTTTCTTGATTTTCAGCCCAAAAGTAGGCATTATATTTGGGATATTTGGATATTTTGTATTTTATGCAAACAATCGGTCTTTATACGTTTAAGAGCAATTATTATCCACTTTGTCTCTTTATTTATGGGATTTTTGGACATTTTCCAATTTATGAGCCCAAAAGTAGGCACAAGAATTTACAAATTTGTTCCAGTTATAATTTTTTACTGACCGAGTACGAAACATATCCTTTACTAGTTAATAATCATACTTTTTTGGATGTAATTTGTTGGTATTTCAAGAATTTTCTTGATTTTCAGCCTAAAAGTAGGCACCATATTTCTGAAATGTCTAATTTTTTTCAATTATTTTTATTTTATCAATTATTATCATTTTATCAATTATTATTAACCAATTTGTCTTCATATTTATGGTAATTTTGCACATTTTCGGGATCTTGAGCCCAAAAGTAGGCATCAAAATTCAAAAAATTTTGAACTTTAATAATTTTTATCGGTCAGGAGTGAACAATATTCATATTTGAGAATATGTTCACAATGTTTTGTATCAAATTCTTTAATTTTAATTTTTTTTTGCCTAAAAATAGACACCACAATTTGTGAATAGTACCTTTTTTGAAGTTGCTGGATTTAGTTTTAACTAAATGAGTTCATTCTTAAATTTAATGAAAAATTATTGATGTTTTAAGCTTCTTTTATATTTTGATCCTAAAAGTAGGCACCAAAAATTAATAAATTTTAATATTTATGGGAGTTTTTAAATTTGTAATACTTCTTGGAATAATTTTCACCAATTTTAGACGATTTAAAGATTTTTTAATTAAAAATCAAAAGTATTTTACCCACAAAGCCTAAAAGTATGCACTGTTTTCTTCTTAATGTAAAAAGTGACAAAGAAATTAGACTGTATAGCCTAAAAGTATGCACCAAAAGATTGCTTAATAGGCCGTCTTAGACCCATTTTTAAAAGTTTTGAAGTATTTTTTTCTAAATGACAATAATGTAACAGATTTTTTTCATATTTGTTTTAAAAAAGTCAAATTTTGAGAATTTTCTCAAAAAAATGAAGCCTAAAGGTAGGCACTTGAATTTGATTGTTTGGTTTTTTTGAAGCCATAATGGAGATTTATACTACAAATTTCGTAAATTGTGTTACTTATAGGCAAATGCATTTCATATCTCATTATATTTTCTCTTCAAACTAAATCCGAACCTAAAAGCAGGCAATGGTTTTTAGAGATTCTTTCATTTTCTTTGTGATTTTTTGGGGTTTCTTATTTAAAATAAGTTTTTCTCAAGCTTCCCTTCTGAAAAAAGTTGCATGTAGTTTTTGTTGTTTTTGTCTATTTCTTTTACCATTCCCCGACCCCTCTCTTGATGAGCCATCATCTCGAGCAAAACATTGAAGTTTCATGATACACATGTTTAGATACGTGGCGACATAAAATTAAACACACTTAAACATTTTTCTTTTGCCTCGCAAGAGGTTTCAGCTCACATTTGAGCTACCCAAAAAAGCGACAAGCGAAAAAATCGAAAGGCTGCATGTTTAGGCATTGGCAAAATTCGTGTCTTACGAAAAATGCTACTCTCCACCCCACCCACCCTTCACCACTCTTTCCCAGCGATCAATGGATTGTTTACATTTGAGAGCCCTTTTAGCTTTGGTTTCGTTTAACCGTATTAAGCGCCTAGTTTTCTTCGGCAACAAAATCTCTGGGTACATTAATTGAAAGCCATTAAAGGTAATTTTATGGGAGGCGTTAAGCCATGAAACGTGTAACATGGCCATTGACATGATGATGGCCAGAATAGCCGAAAAAAACGAACAACAACAAGAAACTTGTGAGAGACATGAAGAAGACATGGTAGATGAATGCTCTGGTTTAAGGCTAGGCAAAAAAAAAAAAAATAACCAGGAAGACTAGACTTGGGCTATTTTGGTGGAAACGACAGCAGCCAAGATATTGCCAGCTAAACACTCAAACTCTGAGACAAGCCAGTGTCGCAAAGGCTCAGGCTTTCAACGTTTTCCTTTCCTTGGCGGCTAAAAGGGTTCACATGGTCGGCATTAAATATAAGTAGAGATTAGCCAAAGAAAACGGCAGCCTAGAGATTTATACACACGTTTTTCCACAAAAATACGGGTCAAAATCCATGTAAAAGATGTACTACGAGTTGGAGGTTTTTTTTGGGGGGGCTCATGTTTTAAAACTGCCAACAAGCTTGCTAACAGCGCCTGGAATTTGTTGGAAATCTTGTTAAAATAGCACTCCAGGCCCAGGAATGACATGTTATTTTAAATTCATATTTTAATGTTTTATTTTTCTCTGTTTTTCCCATTTCAGGTTGCAAATCATTCTTCAAACGTTCGGTGCGTCGCAATCTAACCTACTCCTGTCGGGGGAGCAGAAATTGTCCCATCGATCAGCATCATCGGAATCAATGCCAATATTGCCGCCTCAGAAAGTGCCTCAAAATGGGAATGAGACGTGAAGGTAAGTTTTTTTTTCTGGGTTTATTTACATTTTTCTCTCTCCCTCTCTCTCTGGCTGTCTGTCCCTTTCATTGATAGTATGCCGTTTTTGTTGTATGGGGTCAATTAAAAGTCAAATTGTAAAGGCTGACTGACCATTTGTCGTTTTCTAAATTGAAAATGGCCCACAGCTCCGAGTGGCTATTTTTTGTCACTCTGCTGATGATCTGATCACATTGTTTTGTTTTGTTCGTTTTTTTTTTGTTGTTGCTGTCTATTTTGCTCTCATGCCTGACGTTGTTTACTTTTTAAAAATAAAACGGAAGTAGCACGAGTTTGCTAGCCAAAATGTCACATAATTGGCATATATTTGAGAGACGTTTGTTTTTTTTTTTGCAATTTTATTTAATTTGCAAATTACTTTGTACTTTGTGACAAGTTTCTGTCGATGTATGTGTGTGTGTATGATTTATTCCTCTATTTTTTGAACAAAATGAAAGCGAAATTCGCTTTGCTAATTTTGTGTCTTCTCCTGCTTTTTTTCTTTTCTTCTTCGTCGGCTACTACTTTACATGTTTCTTGTCTTCTCGGTAAGCGGATTATGTTAAATAAGTATTTAGCTAAACATGCCAAACAGAAAAAAGGTGTATTTTGCAACATTGGGCAAAGGGGGTTGAAGTTCTAAGTTGCGATCACATGTTGGCTAGGTTGCCAAGTTTCAAAGTGAGAGCTCATTCAGGAGAATAGGAAAATTAAAAAAAAAAAAAAAAAAAAAAAAAAAAACAAAACTCAATAATAATGACAATCAGCTGATAATGTAAAATTGAAGCATACTTTTAGGGGCAAACTTCTCATGCATATTTTTAAAGCTCGTAAAACGAGATATCATTCAGTATCATGGGGAGTTTCAAACATCGTCCTGAAATCCTGAAAAAAATCGCCCATATTTAAGTCAATCAGAAATTCATAAAAATTTAAAGCCTACTTTTAGGAGCTTACTTCCTACAGCTTTTTAGTTTTAAAGCTTGGAAATTAGGATCTCATTCGGAAGAATGTGAAAATTCAAAAGTTGACCTGGAATTTAGAAAAATGGTCAATGCTTCAGGTTCAACAGCAGATTTTATGAATTCAAAGCATACTTTTAGGAACATACAGCTTATGTATTTTAATTTTTAAACTTCAAAAAGCCAAATCTCATTCAGTAACAAGTGCCAGTTCAGAAATCGTCGTGGAATTTGGAAAAATTGTTTATATTTTAATAGATTTGTGGAAATTTGGCATTCAAAGTCTACTTTTAGGGGCATATTTCTAAAGACATTTAATTTTAAAACCTTGGAAAGCAAGATCCCATTCAAAACTATGTGAAATATCGAAAATCGTAGTGAAATTTACATATTTAGTCAAAACAATAGTAATTTGCTGATTTTTTGGCATTCAAAGTATACTTTTAGGGGCTTAATATTAATTTTTTGTGGAATAAAGTGCTATACCCTTAAAATTTCATTTGACTATTTTCATTTTTAGTTGATTCTTTTGCCATTCAACTTCAAATTGCATTATTTGATATTTGTAGTATACTTTTCTGCGATTTTATAGCATACTTTTAGGAGTTGCAACATAGAAAGGTACAGCTTCAAAATTATACTCAATGCCTTTCATTTAATGTTGGATTTTTTTTCTGGAGAATTCACTTAAGTTATTATTACTTGCTGTGTATGCTTCAACATTTTGAAATTTTTCATAGCATACTTTTACGGGATTTGCTTGAGTTTTTTTACTGAAAAAGATTTGAATTTTGCAATACATCTGTTATCCCTCTTAAATAATAAAAGTATGCATTTTTTTTTAGCAAAAATTTCGTGAATATTTCAAAGAAAACTAGATTTTCTGTTTTTTGTTGCATACTTTTAGGAGTGTTCAAAATTATTTTTAACAAATCTATAAGATTTTAGCCTTTTAAATGTCATTTGAGGTTCAAAAAATTTAATTAGTTTCTAATTCATATTTGTGGCATACCTTCAGGTGCTTTGTGGAATTTTTTTATGGCATACTTTTAGGATCTCAAAGGAAATCTTTGTCCACCTAATTCCTTATAATGAAGGAAAGTGGGAAAAATTGTCAGAAGACATCAAATGTAGCCAATATTTTTGTTTGCAAAATATACTAATATTCTCTTTGCAAAATTGCATAGTTTTAGGAGTTCAAAAACTTTTTTGTTGAAGAAAATTAAATATTTTCACCATTTTTTTACTTTGAATTAGTTACAAACCCATTAGAAATTATATCACAATTTTCTGACATACTCTCATTGCCTTTTCTAATTTATAGCATACTTTTAGGTTGTTTTTTTTTGTCTCACAAAGGAAATCTGTTTTTTATTTCTTAAAATTCAAAAAAAAAAAAAAAAAAAAAAATCATTTCCCTTATCGTTGCATACTCTAAGAAATTTATTTGTTTTTGTTTTTTTCCACAATACTTGTTCTCCAATTAATTCCAGCTGAACAATTCCAAGTTATTTCCACATTGGGGTATTATTAAAAAAGCGAAACTATTGGCATATATGTATGTGTCATTAATAACGCACGTTCTAATACGCAACATACATAAATTATAGTATAGCTCACTAGTAACAAAAAAAAAAAAAAAAAACAAAACTGGCATCAATTAAACATGAAATGGTGTTGGTTTTGAAAAAAAAAAACGTCACCTTTGATGACCTCTCTAGAACTTAAAATGCAAAACATTAGCAAACTTGCCGCCGCCGCTGCTGCTGCTGTTGTTGATTTTGTTCAAACAGCTATGGCAAATAAATAAATATTGTGGCTCATGAAAAAAAAGAAGACTAGAGCTTAGACACACACACGCATACTACACACAAATACTAATTAACAATTGAATTATATGGTAATTAAGTACTCAACACTTGATTGAAGGCTTTTGTGGTGAAGAAAAAGAGGAATAATAATAGGAAACAGAATATGGCGTATTTGGTGTTATTTGAATTTTTTTTTATAAATTAATGGGGAGGAAGGAGGGGAAGAAATAAATATTTTTTTATAAAAAAAAATTGGAAAAAAAATAAAAATATATAAAAAAATATAAAAAAAATTAAAAAAAAAGAAAATATTTTTCTTTCCTTCCTTAAAAAATATTTTCGAAAATAGATAAAAATATATAAAAAATAATAAAAAAAATTGAAAAAAAATATAAAAAATTTAAAATATTTTTCTTTCCATCCTTAAAAAATATTTTTTTTTAAAGAATTTTTTTTTTGTATGGAAAACTGTTTAAGAGAGTATTCTTTCTATAATTTTTCTGTCCCTGGAAATAATTTTATATTCAAAATTATTTGATTTTCAATTTGGAACCCCAAAATTTTATTTTTTCCGGCCTCTTTTCCTTCCATACTTTTGGTATTAGCCCCAAAGAATATTTTTGCCCCTTCTTTATCACTTCATACAAAAAACATTATTATTATGGCCAAGTTCTTTCCAAGCCACAAACACTGGAAATAGCTCCATAATTAAATACGAGTGTGTGTGTGTTTTTGTTGCTATTGCTGCCATTATTTTCGCAACAATCTTACTAATGTCTTTGACTTTTGGTGGTATTCAATTACACGTAAACTTGTTGACTTTGACAGCCAGCAGCCGCCAAGCTATCAACACAACAACTCGAGCGAGCAACAAAAAGAAAAAAATGCTATAATAATTAACAAAGCATTTAATTTACGATTGCATCGAGATTTCCTCACACCGATAAGATATCGAGAGAGCGAGACACCACCAGCACCACCACCATGACAATGCCTGTGTGCTGCCTTCATCAGCATCAAACTATTAATGTCAATTTTTGCTAATTCAAATACCAGTTGCAATTGATTAGAAAACAACAACAAAAATGCAATTTGTTGTTGTTATTTTTTTTCTTACATTACATATTTGCACTACAATTGACAGGTTTTCAATTTTTTTCTTGAATTTATTTACAACACACATTGCTGACTTTAGTAAAAAAATCATAAATAATTATTTGGTCCGGTTCTTATTTCTTTTTTTCGAAACAACAAAATGTAATTGTTTAACAACAAATGACAAATATACCAAGAAACACTTGTTTAATATTTTCATCAAAAAAATCTTCCACTTTTGGTTTTGAAAAATTTAACCCTCCCTTTTAATTACCGAACCCAGAGATCATCACCTTTACCATTTGCCTTTTGCATGGATGACCAGTTTACTTGAACTTGTTTCTAATGTCTACATAAGAATTAACATTTCAAAAAAAAAAAAAAAAAAAAAAAAATCTTGTTCCTTCCTCATGGAAAAAGGCCCAGAAAAAATCGTGAGAAAATTTTTATTTTAACTTCGAAAAAAATATTTCATTTGAAACTGGGTTTATTTCTTTTGTTTCGCCTATGAATAAATGAATGGTCAAGTTTCATGTCCGGCCTTTGGGTTTTCTTGCCTTCTTTTCTGGATCACATGAAGAAGATCACCACCACCTTAAGGTCATTACAATTAGACAGTTTTGATGACATTTTTGCTTTTTTTTTGATATAAAAAAAACTGGACAAACTTGTTTGGAATTTTAAGGGAAAAAGTTTAACCCACCAAAAAATCGGGCAAAAATAAAACAAATATTTTGTAGAAAGAAAATCAAGGAAATGGAGGAAATAAAAATTGAAAGAAAATCAAAAACAAACGACAAAACGGAAATCCAATTGGAATCAGGGGAAGTATTCTCAAACGAAAAATACACATCATTTAATAAAAGTTCTAAATTCTAAGAATAGATTTCATAAATTTAAAGAACAGTTTGAAAACCCTAGGAACATGTTCATTAAAAATGCCATTCAAGGGCATAAAAAGAAAAAAAGAGTCTAGAGAATAAAGCTTATATTATTTGCTTTTGAAATTTATCATTTTAATTTGCCTATTTTAAATTTGCACCTTTAGTTAAAAACCCCTCTCTCTTCGCGTTCCTATATTCTACGAACATTTTCCTGAGTTCTAGGAACTTTTCTGGAATTTTTCCGATATTATAAAAAAAATAATCCGCAAATCCTGTTGACTCGCTCATTCAATTGCCCAAATATTTTATAGTTTTTTCAATTTTCCTCTACGGATTTTTTTCTTCATTACAAGCTATTCTTTCTGAATTCCTAAATTCTAGGAACATTTTTCTTAATTCTATGAATTTTTTTTGCAATTTTGCTGATTTTAAGAGATGTGAACAGCAGATATTGTAAATTATTTCAATTGCCCACGCAATTCGTACTTATGAGGTTTAATAGTTGACATTTTTTATTTGTATTAGAAGCTTCTCTCTTTGAGTTCCTAAATTCTAGGAACATTTTATTAAATTATAAAACTTATCTGTATTTTTGCCAAATATTCCTGAAGTAGCTCTCTCATTTCATATGTTTTTCCTTTGATTTTTCAATTGTCCATAGTGGGAGTTGGAAATTTTTCCTCTCTTCAAATTCCTAAATTCTAGGAATATTTTTCTCAAATTTACGCAATTTTTCCAATCTGGCAAATATTGAACAACAATAATCAGGGATTTCTCGATAGCTTCTTTTGCCTTCTAAATTCATATTATTTTGTCTTTGGGAATGCATATTATAATGTTTCTTAGAAGATTCTCTCTTTGGATTCATGAATTCTAGGAAAAGGTTCATTACTTTTAGGAACGTTTATGTATCTTCTTCAAATATTGGAAAAATGTGAACAATGTAAATATAAATTGCCTTATTTACTCTTTTCCTTCCAATGCTTGGAGTTTTTTCATTATTCGAAGCTCATGTCTTCCAGTTCCCAAATTCTAGGAACTTTTTTTTCCTAATTTTATGAATTTCTTTTTTTATCAATTATTGGGAAGCCGAAAAAACATTATTAGATTGCGTCTCTAGTCCCAGTCCCAGGTTTTTTATATTTACAATTTCAAGTTATTTTGTCTTTTAGAATTAACTCTCCCTGGGGTCATAAATTCTAGGAAAATATTCATTAATTTTAGGAACTTTTTTGGCATTTCCTTAAAATTTTAGAAAAAATAGATTACATTAGAAACAACTGAGCTCAGTTGCCCTTTTGAATTATTTTTTAACTCTGTAAAGATCTACATGAGTAGATTTAATAAAACTTTCTCTCTTCAGATTCCTTAATTCTAGGAACAAAGTTCCTAAAATCCAGGAACTCTTTGAATTTTTGCAAAATATTGGAACATATAGATTAAGGCTTATTGAAAATGCTTCATGTGTTGTCTGACTTTATTTTTTTTAACTTTTTATTACGGAAAATGTTACTTTTCTTGTCACTGAGTTATTTTTTTTGTTTTTTTGCCATTCAAATTCCCTGCAACTCCTTGTTTAACACTCCTACAATTTTTGTAGTTTTTCAATTTTTTGTTGTTTCTCTTTTCAAACTGTCTTAAATATATTCATACTAAACATTATCAGTTTAGGAAATCTTCCTTGAGCAAACGATTTTGGTGCCTTTAGGCTTGAAACTCATAAATGTTTTAACAATTCCAAGCAAGGTTTTTTGCTCACTTCTTCCTCTCTCAACAATTGTTTGCATATAAAAATATGTATTTTTATTTTCCTCCGTCTGTTATTTTTTTTTTTCTTGAGATTTTGCGAAGTGTTATGATTGTAAGGCCTGGCCAGAGGAATTGTGTCTCGTTTGAGGAACACACCTGGATTTTTTTTTTGCTCACTCTCTGTGCCTTTGTAACGTCTTTTTTCCAAAAGAAGACAAGACAAGAAAAAAATATTTATGAATTGTCTAAACAATAAGACATGAGGCATAGCGACAGACAGACAGACAGACAAGCACAAGAAGTGAAATATGGAAATCAAGTACCTAATGGTCAGTTGGTCATCTTTCAAAGAAGAAAGAAAAAAAAAAACGGAGAAGAAGCAAAGCAAAGGTAGAAGTTTGACCCTCATTATTTAGGAGCAATTAAAATAAATGTCCTTTTGTGTTGTTGTGGGGTTGAAAGCTAGTTTTATTTACATATTGACTAAAGTGGATCTCCCTTGCCTGTAATGGTCAAGCAGTGTCTTCTTTAAGGGTTGTTGTCAAACCGGTTCCAGGGATTATTGTATCACTGACCAGTTCCATGCTGACCAAAAGTCCTGGGAAAAGCAGATTTATGGTTTGCCAAAGGTGTTGTATCTTTTGGTTATTAAGCAAATTTTCTTCTGCTTCCTCCACGGCTTATCCCCTCTTGGAATGGAGTGATGCTGCTCGACAAGATTTGTTTCTGTCTTTTTTTTTTTTTTTTTGGATTTCAAGATGTTTGTGGTTATATTTGTAATATTTTGATTTTTAACGCATTGTGGTTTTGTGTTTGTGTGAAAACAATCATAGATTCCCATCTAAGATAGGAGGAAGAGATAAAAACGAGAGTCTGGGGGTTAGTCAATCTTTAACCCCTACGAACACTGGCCCTAACTCATCAAACACTTGAGTAAATAAGGCCATTAAGCACGTGTTTCTCTGAGCAGTTACGCTGGAGTTAAGAAATTGATTTCAAATACTGGAGAGAGAGAACAAAAAATGAACAATCACTTGACATAACTTAAAAGCTCTTGAGCACGTGCAGCAATATATGCCAGCCAAGTGTTTAAGGCAGCTTGAAGTGTCTGAAAAATTTTACTAATTTTAAGATGATATTTCCTTTAAAACTGTTTTATTTCCTGGTTTTATTCCATCCCAAATCTCTCACTCTCTCTTTAATATAAATACATTTCTCCCACTCTCAGCAATAGTTCTCTTCCATTCTCCCTACGAAAAAAACAAATGATTTCTTTGTTTTCTTCTCTTTGCTCTACATTTTTGGTTGTTGTTGTTAGGGATCGTATGAGAGAGAGAGAGAGAGAGTGCGTGTGCGTGTGTGTGCGTGGGTAAGCTTTGGCTTGTTGTTTATGAATCCAATGCAGGTTATTAGTTTATTAGGCGTTGTAATTCTCATTCACTTGAAAGGCTATTAGGTTTTTATACAATTTTAATTATTTTTGAATATCCAGATATTTTTTAAAAATTTTCTGGCTCTCTGCCCATTTTTTGTGCTGGAAATTTATGAAAATCATTTAATTTTACCACAAAAATGACGTTTTAAATTTTAATTCTCTGTTTTTATTTTCATGAGATTGTGGGCCCAAAAAATCCGCAATTTTTAATTATTTTGTTTACATTTTCATCTCTTGGCCGGGGGGATAATGTAAACATGGTTGGTTTTCCTTGTGGTTTTTAGCGTTTACGGATTTAATGTAAATTTTTAATTAAAAGTAAATTTTAAGTGTCGTCAACAATAAAAATAATAAAAAAAACACAAGCAACCAGCCAGCCAGTCAGCCAGCTAGCCAATGAGGCATGCACGCTTAAGCGAACAAATTCAAATTAAACAAAAATATATATAAATTGTTGAAATGCAAAAATCCATTGTAGCTATGACTGAGTGTGTTGAAAATATTTTCAATTCAATGGAATCAACCGAAAAAAAATTTACATACATTTTGAAAACACTTTTTCCCCCACTTCTCGTATCGCAACACAAAAGGGTTGTTTGTCTGGTGCTGACGTCTTTGGAAAAATACTGTCGCTTTCTTGTCGTAAACGTAAGACACACAAAGTATCTTCTTTCTCCGGTAAAGGCAGGAGGAAATCCAGAATTTACTTGGCATTCAAAAGGGGTTGCAATCATTTGGCTTAGAACAACAACAAAACAGTTTTTTTTCTGTTTGAAATTTATCACAACAAAGAAGAGATTGAGGTTGTCTGATTTAATTTCAACTTTTATTATGATATGTGGCATTATTTGGCAAGTTGGAGGTACACACACACAAAATCACAAAAAAAAAAAAAAAAAACGGGAAGTGACAGGATATCTAGGGCTTGATGGATGACAAAGTTGTGTCACCGGTTTTGGCTGCCCAGCTATTGTTTTCGAGTGTGATGTAGTGGTCAAAATAATTGCTATTTTGGGCAAGGTCAGAAAAAAAAATTGCAAAGTTTTGAAAAGTTCCGAAAATTTTCAAAAGTTATTTGAAAATTAAAATTTCCCTTTTAGGAAAATATTTGTTTTTGCTCCAAAAACCAAAAATTATGTTTTATAGAAAATTTTTGATTTAAAAAATTGAAATTTCCCTTGAAATTAAAAATTTCCCAAAAATTTCCCTCATGGGAAATTTTATTTTTTGAGATCAAATGCTTTGGCTTTCCCTCTAGTTTCCAAAACCAAAAGAATTTTTGTAACTTTTAATAAGAAAAATATCGTTTGCCATTGATAACGAAAATTTCCCAAAAATTTCCCCCGAGGGAAATTTTTAATTTTTGGCAGTAATTGTTTTAGTTGTTCTTCTAGTTTCCAAAACAAAAAGAATTCTTCCAAAATATGTAAAAAAAAAAAAATGTCCCTTCGAGGGAAAATTTTTTATTTGAAGTCAAAATTTGAAAATTCTTCAATTTTTGGTCATTTTGCTGCAAAAAATTACGTTTGCCATTGAAATTAAAAATTTCGCAAAAAACAGGCGTAAAAAATTCAATTAAAAAAAATCAATTTTAACAAAATTTCCATTTTCAAAAAAAAAAAAAAAATAATAATTTTTTATAAAATTTTGTATTTTTTATAAAAAAATGTCCGCTTGTTTTGTTAGCCTTTGCAATTTTCATATTTTTTAAAACCCCTCCATAATTTTTCTCCTCTTCAATAGAATTATAAAACTCTCTTGCATCTCAAAATTTAAATAAATTTCTCTCTCCTCTCTCTCTTTTCTCTCAGTTTGGAAAAATATATTTCGACTTTAATTTCCAATAACCCCACAAGACCTATTCTAGAATTATAAAAAACCCTATAACTCAACATTTAAACTAATCTCCCCTCTCTCTCTGTCTTCTCTCTCATTTCAGCTGTTCAACGTGGACGCGTCCCTCCTACACAGCCCGGTCTGGCTGGCATGCACGGCCAATATCAATTGGCCAATGGCGATCCCATGGGTGTTGCTGGCTTCAATGGCCATTCGTACCTTAGTTCCTATATCTCATTACTCCTGCGTGCCGAACCCTATCCCACCTCCCGCTATGGCCAGTGTATGCAACCGAACAATATTATGGGCATCGATAATATCTGTGAATTGGCTGCCCGTCTGCTCTTCTCGGCCGTTGAGTGGGCCAAAAACATACCCTTCTTCCCCGAACTACAAGTTACCGATCAAGTGGCTCTGCTGCGTTTGGTGTGGTCCGAACTCTTCGTCCTCAATGCCAGCCAGTGTTCAATGCCTCTGCATGTGGCACCGCTGTTGGCGGCTGCTGGTCTCCATGCCTCTCCGATGGCGGCGGATCGTGTTGTTGCATTTATGGATCACATACGCATCTTCCAGGAACAGGTGGAGAAGCTGAAAGCTTTGCATGTCGATTCGGCTGAGTACTCGTGTCTGAAGGCGATTGTGCTGTTTACCACCGGTAAGTTGTTGGATATCCTGTACAAGGATGTGCCAGCACTGCTCACAAAAGTCTCACAAAAAGTGTGTTCACATAGTTCGGCGGGCAATAATGGCAGCCACAATTCCTCTGATAGTTCGACCGAAAGTTTACAGTTATCCGATGAAATCATGTTGGTGGTGAAGGATCATTTGGATGAGTTGAATCGTTTGGAGTCGGAGCAACAGCATCAAGCTGCTGCTGCTTTGCATTTGGCCACATTCATGAAAACGGTGGCCGGTGTTGAGGCGGTGACTCAATATTCCCTGAATCAAGCCAAGGAAAATGTTGTGCCCAATTCGGGGGATATGAATGAAAAGTATACCCCCGCCGCCACCTCAACGGCCACGGCCAATAGTATTGTGCCCTCGGCCACAAGTGCTTTTAGTACCTGTGCTCCCTCCACATCTTCTGGCTCTTTGAAAATGGCTCCAAAAGTCCAGGAAGATGATTTGCTCACGGCTCTCTATAATTCGGCCAATAATCAAAATCACAACAATAACAACAACACCCAAAACAGCAGTGGTTTGGGTAATTCTCTAAATCTCAGTCACTCTCCAGGGCATTCGAGTAGCAATGTTGCTGTTGCTTCCTCCAATGCCCCCGTTTCCACCACCACCACCAGCAGTGCAAGCTCATCGAACCCCTTAATGTCCAATGCCGCCATGTTCTATCAAACACCGCCACGCTCAACCTTTGGTTCGGCCTTTGATATGTTCCACCATAGCACACCCTTTGGCATGGCCTCACATGCTGCAGCGGCGGCAGCCGCAGCGGCCCATTCCTCAACGGGAGCCTCCTTTGGTAGTCCTAGTTATAGATATTCGCCATATAGCTATGGCAGTAGATGGCAGCTGTAGATTTAGTTGCAAAATTCCCAATCTCTTAAATTAGTTTCAAAACCAAATCTCATCAAACCAAAGTTCTCAAATGTTTGAAGTCCAAATAATATGTCCAAAGCAAACATGTTGTAAATTAATGTACTTACGTACCGTTTAGCCATAGTTCTAGCTAGCTAAGTACCTGTAGATAGTTGTAAATTTTAGTTTAGATTTTTCCAAACTCCTCTAACTCTTCTTCTTCTTTTTAGTTTTTAGTGTTAAAAACAAAACAAAATCCTAGTTAATTTAGAAATAATTAGAAATTTATTTTCTTCTTAAGTCAAGACAAGCAAACAAACAAAACCCCCCGGCGGAAGACCTTAGTTTTTAGTAACGTATTTCTAAATTAATTAATCTAATTAGTGCCTATTTATTTAATTTATTCTTCGAAAATTTAATCTAAGTTTAATTTATTTATTGGAAAACAAAAAACAAACAAAGAAAAATCAAAAAGAATATAGTACACATACATTTTGAAAAAAAACATAATTGGTGTTATCTCTCTCTTATTTTTTTATTTATAAAAATTGAAAAAAAAAACAAAAAAATTAAATGGTGATTTGGGAAAAATTATCATAAAAACACACACATACAAAAAAAAGTCCTAAAAATATGGGAAATATTTGGTATATGGGAAATAGATTTGGAATATGGGAAAGTTATTCTTGAAAATATTAACTGAACATTGAAAAAATTTAAAAATAGTTCTTGGTTTATTTATTTATTATATTATAAAAAAATATTTTTTATTATAAAAAATATTCTTTTTTATTATAAAAAATATAATTTTTTCTTATAAAAATTATCTTTTTTATTATAAAAATTATATATGTTTTTATAAAAATTATATTTTTTTAAAAAAATAATTTTTTTTATTATAAAAATTATATTTTTACATAAAAAAAGAATATAGGAAAATTGACATTATTGAAAATATTAACTGAACATTGAAAAAATTTAAAAATAGTTCTTGGTTTATATTAACATTATAAAAAATATATTTTTTATTATAAAAATTATAATATTTTATTATAAAATATATAATTTTTATTACAAAAGTTATATTTTTTATTAAAAAATTTTATTTTTACATATGAATATAAAAAAAGAAATATAGCAAAATTTCATAGAAGAGCAATATTAAATCAAATATTTTCTTTGACATTTAAAGAAATTAAAACAAATTTTTTTTAATGTTCAAACTAAACTCAATATTTCAATATTATTGATGATGAAGCCCTTGGGGTTAAATATTAAAATAGAAAATCCAATATTCATTAATAATTCATTAAAATATGGAAAATTTTAATCTTAGATTTTTTTTAATTGAATAATTATTTCAATATTTGAAGAAATTAAAAACCAATATTTTTATTCAAACTCTAGTCAATATTTTTTCAATGTTGAATTAATATTTTTATTCACTTGATGAAGCCTTTAATGTTGAATATAAAAAAAAATCCTGGAAATCATTAAAATTTTTTTAGTGTTGAAATATTGGAAAATTATTATTAAAATTGAAACATTCGAAACATTTCAGCTTCAAGTTTAAATTTTCAGTTAAATCAAAACGAGTCTAAAATATTTTTATAAAAATGTTCTAAAACCTTTAAAAAAATTGGATTTTGTCAATATTGAATTAAAATAATAATAATTTTTTTTTCGTGAATTTAATGATGATGGAGCCTTTAAGGTTGAATATAAAAAAGATTAATAGTTCTTTGAATTATGAACAAATATTATTAAAGAAATATGCAAGGGCTGCAGTAGTGCGGGGCCGATATCCTAGTCTAAAATTTTCGTCCTTCAAAATGCGGAATAAATTCACGTTAAAAAAATGCAAGACATCACCATCCTTTAACAATTTTTGAATTGAATAATAGTTCTTTGAATAGTTCCCTAAAAACTTAGTGTAAAGTTCTCGTCCTTTAAAAATGCGGTATAAATTCACGTCAAAAACGTAAAATATCCCCATCCTTCAAAAAAAAAAAAAAAAAGTATAGGGAATCAAATGTTCGTGCGGGGCCTACCTTGTGATACTCCACTATAATATATTGGAACTATAGTATATTGGAAAGCCCCCCTTAGGTCCAAACAAATTTTGGGCGATTTCGTTTTTGAAAAAATGCCATACAATCCTGTAAAAATTTAAAAAAAAAATCACACAAAAGTTTTGGTCCATTTTAACCGATAAATATTATTCGATGACTAGTCTAAATGCTAAGCTTCGATCCTGTCATAAACTCCAACTTCATGCAAAATTCCGGAAGAGTGATTGAAGAAACAGAAAAATATTGCAAACATTTTGAAGTTGCGGTCCATCTTAACCTCCAAATATTATTTAATGGCCATCCAAATTGGTAGGCTCCTGCCCTGTCTCGAACTCTAACCTCAGGCGAAATTTCATGTCGATTGGCCTTTTATTGTGGCCTGTAGAGCGACTGAAAAATGAAATCCATCCATATCAATTCCTAAATATTTTGTGAAATCTTCAAAAACAATAGAGGATCTTTTCTGACCCTAAACCAATCCCCATGAATAAATTCCGTGCCAATCGGACGATAATTGCGGACCATATAAAATACTCCAAAAAGTAGTAGTAGGGTTATAGTAACAAATTATAAAATCTAAAATTCATGTGCTAAAATTTTCAGAAATAAACAAGGCTTTTTATTAACAAAAATTTACCTTATATTTTTATGGTACATATTGCATAAACGAATTTCTTTTGTTAAGAGACTCACAATGAAATTTGATCTCGAATAATTCTTCCTTTGATACCTTTCCCAGAAAATGATGTATAAAGGGAGATTTTGACTCGGATTGAAAACGTGTTATATTAACACTTAAAAACCAAAACACATAATTTTCACTTTAAGTACAGAAAATTCGAATGTAATTTTCCTAAAAACTATTGTAGCTAGATATATGTTTTATTCTGAGATTTATAGTGAAATTTTGTAAGGAACATTTCTTCTTTTAACAACTTCTCCCTAAAATGATATTTTATGTTATTTTCATGCGTCAACTCGAAAAAAGTCCGAGAAAAAATGTATCAAAAAATTGGGGAATATTTTCGGTTTTTTTTTTGGCAACAACGATACAAATATTTTCCTAAATATACAATAAAAATATGAATTTCATTTCTTTGGTGACTTATAGTGAAATTCGATAAAGAATATTTTCGACTTTGACGTCATTCTCTTAAAATGATGTTTAATGGAGATTGTTGCATAAAGTATGGCTTTACTTGTAAAACGTGTTTTTAATATATATACAATTTTTTAACTTTAATGTTTAGACTTTGGACACCTTATAGGACCTATAGTAAAATTTTATGAAGAATATTTTGACTTGCTACGATCCCTTTTAAAATAAGTTTTTAAGCATATTTTCAAAAAAGTATCAAAAATACCCCATTCTTGACCCGTTTGAGTGTTCAAGTAATCAATCAAAATATTGCTCATATTTTTCTCTGCAATATTGCTAAAGACACTATACATCTAAAATCTACGGATTCCGAAAAATATTAATCTGAAAAATTCCAAAATTTTTGAAGCGGGGGAACTTATTCGCCTCTATTTAAGTAACTTTTCAAAACATGCTAGTTCGAGTTAGCTTAGCGAGATAGGAAAATCCATAAATATCATCATGGGTCTAGAACCAATATTTCGAATTATTACAAGCTTGGCCCAGTCAACAATATAATACACCCAATACATAGTGTTGTAGGGTATAAAAATATTAATATTATAATATTTGAATCAATTTTTTTTTGAACAAAAATCAATATTGAGTTTATTTTTCCAAATAAGTTTTCCTATACCAAATGTTATCCCACGTTACCATATTAAACAGGACTCTATTTGAAAAATGTGTTGGGTATGGATTTTGTATGTTAGTTGATTTTTGAATCGAAATACCAAAGTACACCGCAAAAGAAGTCTTTGACTTATTGCACTAAAACATCGTAACCCTATTATTATTTTTGTTACTAACGATTTATTTTATTTATTTGCTTGTATTATAATTTGTTTTATTTTAATTTTATTGAAAAAATTCCAGTTCTACTTATGTCTTATAATTTATGATTCTAACTAT